GGTTAAGATGTAGCGCATCAAAAGCTTTCATTAGGCCAATTGTCAAAAGGAAAAATTTACACATATTGATGGAAACACACGCGGAAAAAATATTGATAAGAAAAAAAAATAAAAAAGCCTACGGAGTGTCGTTAAGAATGAAAAATAATAAATTGAAAAAGGTTTTTGCTAAAAAAGAAGTCATACTATGTGCCGGATCAATACAATCTCCACAATTATTGATGCTGTCTGGCGTTGGACCAAAAAATCATCTTAAAAAAATTGGAATACCCGTTATATTAAATTTAAAAGGTGTTGGAAATAATCTCCAGGTGATTTAAAAAAAAATTTTTCTTTTAATTTGGTCACGTGGACAAAAAATAAATCATTATTAAATTTATGTTTTTTTTTATAGGATCACGTGGCGATGGGTGGTACGACATATTTATTAAATGAAAATAAAACAACCGAAAACGATGTCGGAGTCGGTTTTGTACTTCCAAAATTATTAAACGTCGAAACTTTAAATAAATTTTTATTTAAACAAGAAGGTCCATTATATTGTTTTCCAGATATTGAAGTTATTGGTTTTGTTAGTACAAAGTAAGTTAGAGGAAAACATAAAAATAAAATTTTGTAAATCTGGAAAAAAAAGGAAACAAACAAACAAACAAACAAACAAAAGGATATTTAAACTTTTTTATTTTAAAATAACAAAAAAAAAAAAAAAAAGTTTTATAACCCGTTAAAAACTAAACTAAAGTAAAAAAAAACAATTTATCGTTATTTTATTTAAACAATAAAATGTTGCAATAAAACAAAAAACATGAAATCGTAAATTAAACAATAAAAAATAAAAAAAAATACATTTTTAATGATATTTCAAATGTCTTCAAATAACAATTTGTAAATGATTTTTTTTTTTATTGATTTATTTAAATTTAAAAAAATTTTCGATTGAATTTTAAACAAAAAGTCATTTTTCTCTCTCTCTCTCTCTCTCTCTGTACAGGTATATTTTTTTTCTTTATTCGATATTAATTCAAGTGGATATTAATGAATGTTATCTAAAAAAAAATTTGACACTTAACGGATCTTATTTTAACAAATATAATGGATTAATATCGAATTTATCGATTTATCGATCGATCGATCGATCGAAAGAAAAGATGCAAATTTTGTTGTTGTTATCGTATACAAAATGGATTTTTTTTCAGGTATGTTAATCCGAGATTAGATTGGCCCGACATACAAATCATGGGTTCTACTTACGCAGAAAATGTTGACGGTGGTATTTTCAGTAAAAAAAGTTTAGGTTTGACCGATGAATATTTTTCTCGATGTTACGGTCCGTATTTATTTAAAGAAGCATTTACTGTTACGCCATTGTTATTAAGACCCAAAAGCAAAGGTAAAATTTTATTAAAAAGTAAAAATCCAAAAGATCATCCGTTGATTTATCCAAATTATTTCGAACACGAAGACGACATAAAAACTTTGGTAAATAGAAATTTTTTTTTTTTTCCTTTTAAATGTTTTTATCGGTTTTCTTTGAAAAATTTATCTGAATGATTTCAGGTGGAAGGTATGAAAATAGGAGAATCGTTGGTTAATACGAACGCATTTAAAAAATATAAACCTGTTTTGACGGACACTAAAATACCAGGTTGTGAAAAATTTGATAAACCGAGCGATGAATATTATGCGTGTCAAGCCAAACATCACACAATGACCATATATCATCCTGTGGGTACTTGTAAAATGGGTCCTGATAATGATGATACCGCTGTTGTAGATTCAAGGCTAAGAGTTCGTGGTATATCTAATTTAAGAGTCGTTGATGGTTCTATTATGCCAACCATAGTGAGTGGAAATACAAATGCTCCGATTATAATGATTGGAGAAAAAGCAAGTGATATGATAAAAGAAGACTGGAGAGTTTAAATAGATATTATCAATATTATCAACACGTGGCACCACCACCTGTTGTTGTTTGTTTAATGTATTTGTAAACCAAAACAGATAAAAGTTTGTTTTATTTATAATTAAGTACTTTTGTTTTATTATATTTATTTATTTTATTTAATGTTATTCTCATTTTAAAAAAAAATAATATAAGTAAAAATGTATGACATGGATTGTTTTATTTAAACTTTAAATTTTTTAATTTTCCCTAAAGTTTTCTTTTTTTTTTTTTTTTGTTTTATTATCTTTTGAATCTTTTATCTCTTCCGTGATTTATATAGGACGACAGGAAATTTTTTTTATTTTATTTTTTTTTTAAATTTAAGCTTTAACTCATTATATAGCAAATTAATATTTAATTGTTTTTGTAATTTTAAGAATGTCACTTTTAGACTTATGGTTTCTCATTATTTTTAGGAAATTATAAAATTTTCAAATAAGAAAAATTGCTTTATTGCCATTATTCTTTATTAATGAAATGTATTTTTAATTTATTCTTTTCCAAAATCATTAATTTGTTTAATCATTTCAAAATTTTTACTTTAAAGAATTTTTCATTTTGAAATATTCACAAATACCTTAGGTACAGATTAATGCCATAGAATAAAACTTTTATAAAATAATTCAAGTAAAATATTATTTAATCATACATACATAAAAAGTTTTCGTTTTTCTTTTTTCCAAGTAAAAATATTAGGCCAAGAGATTGGAAAATGAATTATAATAAGACCGCCATTTTAAATTTCATTTTAATTCATTTATGTTGGCAGCGCTCAAAACGTCTTCAAAATGGTTGAATAACCGTAAACAAAATTATGTGAATCTAATTAATTTGAAATGTTTTTTAATTTTTTACGTCGAGCTGCAAATAATTTTAGGGAAAATAATTTTAAAACGAATTCTATTGAAACGGAAACAGCCGCGGAAGCCGAAACACAAGAGCAAACCATTTTAAAAGAGAGTATATATGGTAAAATTTCAATTTATATTATTTGTTAAATGACACTTATTTTTCTATGTTAATTTAATGAATTAATGCATAAATAATTACGTTGAAAAATTTGGTCTACATTTAAATGAACTAAAAAAGGAAAAAATTAAATTTTTATAAATTTTAATATTTCCATAAATTTTTTCATTTAATAATTTTATTTATCATTATTGTTATTTATGATTATGTTTCTTATTCTTAATAATTTTTTTTTTTTACTCAGCTAAATAATATTTTAAAAATTTAACGTCATTAATCTATTATTAAACAAATTTAAATTTTTTTTTACTTAGTGTTTTGCAGAGAATTTTTGCAAAATGCAATCATTTTAAAAATTTTTATTTAAGTGCATTGTTTATTTTAAGCATTTACTGGTTAGTCTAAAACATTTATGTTGCTTTGTATTTTGTTTAAAAGTAAAATTATATTATATTGTTTGTACTATAAAATACTTTCCATTTACTATATCTTATATAATGTAAAACATTTTTAATTTGCATTTTACTTATTTCAGATTTAATACGTAATATAAAAGATCCTGAAAAACCTTCTACATTAGAAGATCTTTTAGTAGTTTATGAAGATGGTAT